AAAAAAATTAGTATGTTCTTCATTTAATTTGGGATCAAATACTTATCTAATCTGAATTCAAGTCAAGGGTAGCACTGACTTTATTTTTTAAGACAGGTTTCTGTATGCCTTAAAATAGGTTCCCCACAAAATTATTTGGTATGCAGTTACACATAATGAAATAGCCACCATGACTAATGTGGTGATATTTTCTTTGATATGCAAAATGTTTTTCTATCAACCAAGCAGCATTTTATTCATCAATTTGAATACACTAAACATTATCAAAAAGTAAAATAAAACTTACAAACATCCTTTTTTCCTTTTGTTTCTATTATATCTGTATCATGTAATATGTATGACTCATTAAGTCTCATTTTCTTTCTTTCTTTCTTTCTTTCTTTTTTTTTTTTTTTTTTTTTTTTTTTTGAGACAAAGTCTTGCTCTGTTACCCAGGCTGGAATGCAGTGGCACAATCTAGGCTCACTGAAATCTTTGCCTCCCCGGTTCAAGCTATTTTCCTGCCTCAGCCTCCCGAGTACCTGGGATTATAGGCACGCACCACCAGGCCCAGCTAATTTTTGTATTTTTAGTAGAGATGGGGTTTCACCATGTTGGCCAGACTGGTCTCAAACTCCTGATCTCAGGTGATCCACCTGCCTTGGCCTCCCAAACTGCTGGGATTACAATCGTGAGCAAGTGTGCCAGGCCAGGTCTCATTTTCTAACACTGGAAACTAAAAGTGACTCTCGGTGTTTACAAAGTTTTTATTGTAGTCTTCATGAGGAAAACAAACCCTTAAATTATTATTACTTTATTTTTCTTCGTTAGTTGTTCTTAACTGCTTATCAATGCAAATTCAGTACTATTTCAACAACATTGATGATGCGCATTAGATGTTGTTTCTGGCATCATGGCACTTGTGATATATCAGAAAAGCTAAGTTGTAATCAGTGTAACACATACCTGTGACTAAAGTAATATGTGATGTAAGGGGGGTTTAGAGTTTGGTGTTTAGTTAACACTACTTATAAACCAATTTTGGAGATGCTTATGTATCAGTTAAAACATTGTGTTGTATGTGACAGAAAAACTAATCCAAATGATCTTGAAAATAAAAGACCAGTTTTGGTGTTGCCACTTCTATCAGCTGAAACTGTTATTACCTGATACCTAGCCTGTTTCTTTCTCTCTTCTTTCCTTTGTGTTAATCTATATTATTTTCATCACTGCGGCACTGCGTCAATTCCCTTTCTGTTTTACATGAGTTAGCAGCAAGTCCCTCATGCTCATAAAAGAGGGAAAGATTTTGACCACAGAAGTCAAATGAAGTGCTTGGATCTGGTTCTCATTCAGTAAATAGGTATGAAAGCATTAACACATAGCAATAATAAAAGATTATTTTAAGAAAGTATTAATATAGCATAGAGCTTGCACCATACACAGGAGTAATGTAGTTAATTGTTACAAAGTTGTAAGTGAAAGATGACCAATTTATTAGCCTCTACATAAAGTCACATATCATTCTTCATGAGTTTTCCGTTTTGCCATAATAAATTAGCACAGTCTTTGCACCTTAAAGCAACACACACATTTTCTAACAATTCTGTCTGTCAAAAGTCCATATGGGCTCGACTGGGTACTCTGTTTAGAGTCTCTCATGAAGCCAAAGTCAAGTCACTGGCAGCCTTGTGTTCTTACCTGGTGGCTCTGTAGGAGATTCCACTTCTAAGATCATTCATGTTATTGACAAAATTCAGTTCTGGTGAATGCAGGGCTAAGGACCTTGTTTCCTTGCTGGCTGTTAGCTGGAAGACCTTTAAGCCCTTAAGCCACCTATATTCCCTGTCCTGTTTCCTCTTCAATGTTTAAAATATTAATGGAGCACTGAGAAATTTTGATCCTTGACTCTATCTGATTTCCTTTCAGCTGAAATTCCCTGAATCCATGGAAAGTTCTCTGCCTTTAAAAACTTATGTGATTAGAGGCCCAACCGGAAAGTTGAGGTTAATCTCCAGATATTACTGACTATAACCTTAGCTATGTTTGCAAAGTCCTTTTTTATGTAACATATGTATACACAGGAATGGTGCTAAAATTCTGCCTACTACACACTTGTTAAGGATCAAATGCAATTTATAGAAGGGAATTGGACATGGCTTTGTGGGAGCACAGAGGATCCTGAGAGCAAGAGAGGCTCTGTCATATCAGGAGATGAGAGTGGACTCGAACAGTGGAACCCAGGATCTGAAGAAATAAGAAGACAATTCATGTTTTCAGCAAAAGACAGCAAGGAGCCATCTTCTGAAAATTAGAGGGCAAAGTACTAGAAATTGCCATAAACTTCAAATGGAAGGGGCAAAATGTCCTGAAGTTTCCCAGGCAATGTATGAAGCCAGCAATGAAAAACAAACAAAAAAATCTATAAAGGGGCTGTGTCTTCACCAGTCATGTAATTTTGCTGTTTTTTGTCCTATCAACTCAACATATTAAAGCTTCTTAAACAGAATTTGGAAAGTAAGGAATAACCTATTCAGTTTGCAAATGTCTCTGAAGAAAGAAATTACACCATATTCTTATTAACTTCCTTAGTAGCATTTGCAATAAAATATTTGCCCTTATCTATAATGTGATCATTTCCTGGTGTATAAAGTCCTCCATTTGTTAGCCAGGTGTGGTGGTGCATGCCTGTAATCCCAGCTACTCGGAGGCTGAGGCAGGGGAATCACTTGAACCCTAGAGGTGAAGGTTGTAGTGAGCCGAGATTGCGCCATTGCACTGGATCCAGCCTAAGCAAAAGAGGGAGACTCGACTCTATTCCCCCCCGCAAAAAAAAATCTCCATTTGTTCCTTGGGTCATCTCCAATTAATACAGTACAAGCAAACTGAAGTTTAGATTAACTAGAGAAGTCAAAAAGCTAAATTTTTTTCTTCAACCAGATCTCATGAAAACAAGAGCACCTCATGTTGTATGATATTTGGGCACAGTACCATTGCTATAACTTGAGTGACAGATATGGAAAAGAAGACACCTATGCCCTTTCATTTACAGGCAGGTAGGGAGGGGTGGTACACAGATATTCCTAGGGGTTAGTATCTGTGCCTACGGAGCTGTTGAACATTAGTTTCTTAATAATACTTAACATGTTTTTGTGCTGTGAAATAAACTTTTCAGCAAAAAATATTCAATTTTAAGAAAAAAAGCTTAAAAATAGCTTTCATATATTAAAAGTAGTGAAATGAAAAAGGTCTTCATTTAATTTTTGACTAAAGAGCTGTGTGAATTAAAAAAAACAGCAAAAACCCAGTAGTATTATTGTTGAGAAGTTAGATGTCAGCTGGAGTTTTATTGCTAGATATAGTTTTGGACTGAAGAATATTCAAGCAAACAAATGGCTATAACAGTAGGCGCTCTTTATTAAGCAGAAAGATGTATCTTGTTTACAATCTTTGCTGCTGTTTATTATGAGTACAGTGTCAAGTTTTCATGGTCAATAGAGATGACCCACCTTCCTATGTGGGTTAACATGTAGCATTCAGTGGTAGATAAAGAGGGTGGTCATTAATTAAATGTTTTATGGAAGAGATAGCTGCTTTCTCTTCTGCCTACTATAATCTAAATGTCCAAAAGTATTCAGATTAGGTAATAAAAAAGATCCTGTATAGCCAAGACAATACTAAGGAAAAAGAAAAAAGATGGAGGCATCATGCTATCTGACTTCAAACTATACTACAAGGCTACAGTAACCAAAACAGTATGGTACTGGTACCAAAACAGATATATAGACCAAGGGAACAGAACAGAGACCTCAGAAATAACACCACACATCTACAATCATCTGATCTTTGACACACCTTACAAAAACAAGTAATGGGGAAAGGATTCCCTATTTCATAAATGGTTTTGGAAAAACTGCCTAGACATATGCAGAAAACTGAAATGGAACCCCTTCCTTACACCTTATACAAAAGTTAACTCAAGATGGTAAAGACTTAAACATAAGACCTAAATCCAAAAAAACCCTAGAAGAAAACCTAGGCAACAGCATTTAGGACATAGGCATGGGCAAAGACTTCATAACTAAAACACCAAAAGCAATGGCAACAGAGAGCCAAAATGGACAAATGAGACCTAATTCAACTAAAGATCTTCTGCACAGCAAAAGAAACTATCATCAGAGTGAAGAGGCAATCTACAGAATGGTAGAAAATTTTTGCAATCTATTTATCTGACAAAGATCTAATATCCAAAATCTATAAGGAACTTAAACAAATTTACAAGAAAAAAACAACCCCATCAAAAAGTGGGCAAAGGATATGAACAGACACTTCCCAAAAAAGAGCATTTATGCGGCCAACAAACAGATAAACAAAAGCTCATCATCACTGGTCATTAGAGAAATGCAAATCAAAACCACAATGAGATACCATCTCACACCAGTTAGAATGGCAATCATTAAAAAGTCAGGAAACAAGCCGGAGAGGATGTGGAGAAATAGGAATGCTTTTACATTGTTGGTGGGAGTGTAAATTATTTCAACCGTTGTGGAAGACAGAGTGATGATTCCTCGAGGTTCTAGAACTAGAAATATCATTTGACCCAGCAATCCCATTACTGGGTATATACCCAAAGTATTATAAATCATTTCTACAATAAAGACACATGCATACATATGCTTATTGCAGCACCATTCACAATAGCAAAGACTTGGAACCAACCCAAATGCCCATCGATGTTAAACTATATAAAGAAAATTTGGCACATAGACACCATGGAATACTATGTAGCCATAAAAAATATGAGTTCATGTCCTTTGCAGGGACATGGATGAAGCTGGAAACCATCATTCTCAGCAAACTAATGCAGGAACAGAAAACCAAATCCGCATGTTCTCACTCATAAGTGGGAGTTGAACAATGAGAACATATGGGAACAGGGAGGGGAATATCACACACCAGGACCAGTCAGGGGGTGGAAGCCTAGGGGAGGGATAGCATTAGGAGAAATATCTAATGTAGAGGTTGATGAGTACAGCAAACCGCCAGGGCACATGTACACCTATGTAACAAGCCTGCACATTCTGCACATGTATCTCAGAACTTAAAGTACAATAAAAAGTTTTTAAAACATGTGGGTTAATTTATCTGGAATGAAACATACATACACACCTGCCACTCTTTGAGAAAGCTCCCTGCCTTAGCTAATGGTCCAGTGATGCAGCTGGGTTTCAGAGGCACAGACTGAGCTAAGGCAGTAGATTTTAAGCCTTGCTGCACATTAAAATTACACGAACGAGATTTTTAAGAATCCTAATGCCCAGATTAAGCTGTAAGCCATTTATATCAGAATGTCTGGGAGTTGGAGCCAGGTACTTTTTTAAAGACCCCAGCGGATTCCAATATACTGCAACACTTAGGACCCACCGAGGCAAAGGTGACCATCTGAGTGAGCATGGTAACTCCCCTGGGTATACATTTATTAGGATCCATAGATTTACAGGTGACTGCAAATAAAAATAATAGCTCATTAGAAATGTAAAGTTAATCAGAAAATAGGTGACGCTCATGCCACTAAGACTTTGGAAGATATTAACATTCTGGGAACCTCTTATTTCAGCAAGTGTCAGCATAGGTAAGTTGCCTTGAAAAGGAACTCAATGTGATGTAAGGCTAAGATAGAGAAGCAAAAAGTGGCCTCTCCCATTTTCCTTTCTTCATCAGGAAGTGAGATTTATAAAACTGTGAATAATCATACATATGGGTTATTTCTATAATACTTGGAATGTGTACATGGAATCTATAGGAAAGACTATTTTAAGATGACACAGGACTAAAATCAGCCTATATTACAACAATTTGTTAGTTTGATAGATGTTCAGTTGATTTTTACAATATAGAAACCATACCAAAATTGAGTGTCCTAAAACACCATCCTTATATATATATGTCTCATTATTCTGTAGGTCAGCTGAAAATATTTTTGCTTGTTTGTTTTTAAGTCTGGAATGACCAGTCTTCACTGGGCTTGTTCACGTGTTTGCTGGTAGCTAGTAGAACGCTGGTCGCTGGTAGAACGCTGGTGACTGGTTGGTCTAGCAAGACGTTGCTCACTTATCTAGCAGTTGGAAGGCTGTTGGCCAGGGTCAAAAAATTGGCTGGCCCATGTGTCCCTCTTTATGCATCAGGCCAAACCAGACTTTTCCACATGGAATCGGCAGCTGTGAAGGGAACATAAACAGATGCTGTAAGACTCTTGAAATCTGGGCCAAAACTGACCCACTTTCACTTCCTCTGCATATTATTGGTTAAAACAAGGCCAGCCCAAACTCAAAAGATGAAGAAATACACTCCACTTTTTATTTGAAGAGCTAGAAAATCACATGCACATAGGAATAGATAAATGTTGTTTCCATTATTGGTAGCATACCCCCATAGAAAAAAAATATATTTTTCACAATCAAACATTTTAACATCTTATTTTTTTTTCATCTCTAGTCACAGCCATAACAGTCCCCACCTTAAGGCCTATCATAACTGTTTATGTACTTTTTTATTTTAAAAATTCTGAATCATCTTGCTTTCCATTTTAAAGTCATCTGACACTTGTGTCCAGTAGTGTGGAAATCTTTCACTGAAGTTCAATATAGACATGGTTATTATTACTTTTTTTTTTTTACAAACAGTAGGAGGGAAGCACAGATATTCAGCGAGTTTGAGCCTGGAGAGCCAGATATATTAAAAAAGTAGTTTCTATATTTATTACAAATGTATTATTTAGACAATACTAAAATCATCTTCCCCTTTTACCCTTATCTACTTATATTAGGGAGATGTTTCACAGAGTTTTTGTTGGGAAATGCTAACTTGTACAGGAGAGACAACTTACATTGCACTGTTCCTCTTTTCCAATTCTTTACAAGCCTTCTCCCTACTAAAGAGGGAATAAAGTAATTGAGTCCAACTAATTGGATTAAATGGACCATTTTTACTAGTAGAAAGAACTACTGTGTTGGGCTGGGCAAGGTGGCTCACGCCTGTAATCCCAGCACTTTCGGAGGCCGAGGTGGGTGGATCACGAGGTCAAGAGATCGAGACCATCCTGTTCAACATGGTGAAACTCCATCTCTACTAAAAATACAAAAAATTAGCTGGGCATGGTGGCGCGTGCCTATAATCCCAGCTACTCAGGAGGCTGAGGCAGGAGAATTGCCTGAACCCAGGACACGGAGGTTGTGGTGAGCCGAGATCGTGTCATTGTACTCCAGCCTGGGTAACAAGGGTGAAACTCCATCTCAAAAAAAAAAAAAAAGAAAGAAAGAAAGAACGAACTACTGTGTTAAAAGACATATACAGGTACTCTCTACCTTAAAAAAATGAAATTCTTCATCTATGGCACTGGCTGAGTTTGATCCAATAACTAACATTGTTTTGATTGCTTGTAACATGTGGCCAACCAGAATACATGCAACCCAAAATTGTGATTCACATTTAGTAGAATAAGGCCCATGATTACGTCCAAGAATAAGCTGTCTGATCCAAGCCAGGTGTTGTAGGCAGCCTCTGAAATGGTGCCAGTGATCTCCGCCTTCTAGTTTTTATGCCTTTCTGTATTCTCCTTCCCTTGAGCATTGGTTGGATCTAGTGACTCACTGCTAAGAAGGGTAATACTGCAAGAGTAATGGAATGCTATTTCTGAAATTAGTTTGGAAAAAAAAAGACTGGATTCCCTTTGGATGATTTATCTCATTTGCTTGCTTTGGGTAAACCAAACTGCCATACTGTGAGTTTCTTTATGGAAAGGCCTATATGGTGAGGAACTGAGGGAAGGCTTCGGCCCACAGCCACAGAAGAACTCAGTCTTTCAGGGAAATCACCAGGGAAACATTATATCTTACCAACAAACTCCTAAGTAAGCTTAGAAGCAGATCCTTACTGGAGGAGCATTCAGATAAAAGTACTACCCCAGCTGACAGCTTAACTGAAACTTCTTAAGAGACCTTGAGCCAGAAGCACCCAGCTAAGCCACGCCAAATTCCTGACTCAGAGAAACTGTGAGATAATAAATGTTTCTTGTTTTAAGTCTCTAAATTTCATGGTGATGTGCTATGCAGCAGTAGATAACTAATATGCTAGGTTTACCGTAGCTCTACATCTGGAGTCATTGAATATAGCAGAGCCACTAGTATAATTATGTATTCTCTTCTTTATTTAGCTCTGTTTGGAAATATCATTGACGGAGAGACAGAAAAAGATTCAGATACTTCTAAACTTTACTTATATTTCCATTTTTTAATCTTGTATTTTATTACAGATATAAATATATATTAATAGTTATAAAATTATATATCATTTATGTTAAATAAGTATAGTAATAGTGTGTGCATATAAATTAATGAATATATATGTGAGTTCATGTATATTTATGAATATAAATATGTGTATATCTGTCTATATATTTGATTGCCTTACCCTGATGTGTTCTTAGGGAATAGAAAATCATCATTAACTAGCACTATTTCAAACACCACTCCCCTCTTTCATAGAAGTAGCTTCTTCCACAGATTTCTATCTGGGTATATCAGATTACTTAATCATTTGAGATTAATCACATACAGACTATTATTTTTATTCCTTTCATGGAGACTCCTTTCCTCATTTAGGTTGTTAAAGGGATGGCAGATTTCAAATTCTGTGGAACTAAAGCCAGAAAGAAAAAGTACTGACATAATCATTAATTAACTGTAAGATTCCATGGCAGTGATCAAACCTCAATGGGCCTCAGCTCCCTTAATTTTAATGTGGATTTCATGTTAAAAATACATACTGCACGTGTGTAGATGAGAGCAATAAATAACATGTAAAATAGAAAGTAAGCATATTATACACTCTACAAATGTAATGGTTGGTATATTTGAAGAGTGGAAATTGGTGGTGTTGATCTGATTGATTCAAAATAAAACTATTTACTGAAGACAAGCACAAGAAAGATGGGATGAATAAATCACTTAAGCAGGGTTCTTAACCAGGGTGGAGTGTCTATTTAGTCTACAACTAAACTTCAGGTTGTCCATAAACTTTCTAAAATTGTGTGCAGAATTACATCCTTATATATTTACAAGAAAGTAAGTGAGTGTGGGTGGATGACTGTGCATTTTTCAAAGGAGAATGTACATCATTGTCATCAGATATTCAAAGTGTTCATGGACAAAAAAATGCTTAGGTTGCCTTTTATTAATTACTTTCTGGGCGGGCACGGTGGCTCATGCCTGTAATCCTAGAATTTTCGAAGGCCAAGACGGGTGGATCACCTGAGGTCAGTAGTTCAAGGCCAGCCTGGGCAACATGGTCAAACCTCGTGTCTACTAAAAATGCAAAAATTAGCCCGGCGTGGTAGCACACGTCTCTGATCCCAGCTACTCCGGAGGCTTAGGGACAAGAAATGCTTGAACCTGGGAGGCACAGGTTGCAGGGAGCCGAGATCGTGGCATTGCATTCCAGCCTGGGCGATAAAGTGAGACTCTTGTCTCATTTAAACAAACAAACAAAAAAAAGACTTCCTAGACAACATCTATTAATATTTCTAACAGTCTAATAAGCCACATGCCCTACATGCCTGATTGATTCTCTCCGTGTAAGTAATCTAGGTAAATAATATTTGATATTTGGATAATGTAGTAAAAAAGTGTATTTTAGATAAAGCTATGACCAGATACAAATAAATAAATAAACAAACCAAATAAAATTAGAGACTGCAAGAAAGCTGGATGTATAGATTTATTCATGCAAGGCATATTCAAGAATATTCCAGTGTTATTTAAAACAGCCCAAAACCAGCAATAATCCAAATGGTTATCAGTAGTAGAAAGAAAAATTACATTTTTTACTATGTATTTATTAAAAAACACATAAAGAAGCCATATAAAATGAAAGAAGCCAGATACTAAAGAATACAGATATTATGATTTAATTTATATAAAGTTCAGATGTGGACAAAACTATAACAACACTGTTAAAGTTCAAGAGAGTTTTTATATTTAGAGAGCACCCTGGGAATAGGTTCTAGGTGCTGTGGAGCTTATACATGCCTGTTTTTTTTTTTTTTGTTTTTTCCAATC